GTGCAGAACCAGATCCCGCGCCGAATCGACTCTTTTCCATGAACCGGAATTCGTTCTGGGCAGAGATATTGTGTGCCGACGGCCGAAAAATGATGCACATACATGTATTGAGGATAAAGAAAGATCAAAGAAAATTTTTCTCCGAACGTTTTCCGGTGAATAAAAATGTCACCATTGGACTCAGAATTAAATTCTGCATCGAATACACTCGGTTTTATCGACCGGAATTCGTTTTCAGAAAATCCTTAGTTTGATGGTGCTAGCTAAATGGTTGCTAGCTTCACACCGATTTCTTAGTTGCCTCATAGAGTGTCCACTTTGCTTATATCTTTGAACAGATGGATTCAAAGTAATTTGACATAAATAAAGTAGAAAAGGATTAGACGGAAACTTATGCATAAATGTGACTCCAACTTGAAGTCGGTTATATTGAAATCTAACTGAGTTTTTATTTACTACTTTCAGAAAAGGGTCAGCGAATCCAACGGATGAGCGCTACCTGTAAGAGTATTAGTTTTAATTAAAGTTAATAGCATGAAAACATAATGACTATAAATTTCGAGTCTTTATTATGGTTGTTCTTATGAAACACAAGAGATTATGCTTGTCTGTATTGGATTTCATTCAGAATTCATGGATTCGAACGAATTAATTCGTTACGCGTTTACTAATGCTTTATTTTACGCTTTTCAATCAATGAAAAATCAACATTTTTACAAATATTCTATCTGAAAACAAATTTTACTGCCACTAATGATAACGAGTTATGGCTGTCATAAGTTATATTAAATTTCTACCTGGATAAAGCTATAAACAGTATTTTCTTTTTTATTCATTAACTAGATTAGAAAAAAATTGAGCAGCTGTTGAACAAGAATTATATTGATTATTTTTCACTCGAATAATATAAAATGAACTTTTTTTGCATACTTAAAATGAAGCCATTGAAAAGAAAAACAGAACAGATTGGAAATATATATACATTAGAAATAGTTCTGTATTTCTTATTCGGAGTAAATTACATCCATACGTCATTTTCAAATAGAAGTCTCCACAAAATAAACACCACAATTATGACAGTAAGTTTGTATATGTATGAACAATTTTAAATTGATATTTTTTCAAAATTAATTCTCTTCATTAGAATATCATAGAACCACTTTCTGTTGATGTAAACAATCACAATCCATCGTTATTAGTAGCAACAAATTCTGTTAGGTATAACTCATGACTTTTAGGAGCGAAATTTTAATTACAAAAAAACTTATATTACTAGATTGACTTCATGCATAAGATTACTGCTGATTACTTTAGCAATTATAGTCGGTTTATGTGTTATAGCTTCAATTATCAGTATAGTCGTAGTTTTCACTGGCCGTAAGACACACATATTATCAGATTCGTTTAATACAACTTCTGTAATGGGTATTCGCTATTCAAAACCTACTACTAGAAAAGAAAGATCTTGTATCAAATCTATTTGTAGTCTCGACAGACGATGTATATACAACAGCAGCAACAAGAGCTATATCAAGTAGTGCATCGTACACAACACAAATAGTTACGACTGAACAATTGAGTACATCAGTACAGACTACGAACAATAGTAAGTAGTATACAGATAATTTGCTCTTTAATTCATTCATTCTAGATTCAAAATGTCAATTGTTGACATTTGCACCGTATACATCGATTTTAGCTGGTTATTTTCCCCAATCTATTACTGTAAATGATTTTAATGGAGACAATCATTCTGATATTGCTATTGCCAATCGTTTCGGTAACAATGTTGCAATATTTTTGGGTAATGGTAATGGAACGTTTCGAAAGTCAACAAGTATCCCAACTAGTAGTGAACCTATATTTGTCACCAATGCTGATTTTAACAACGATAAAAAATTAGACATTGCTGTTGTACATCATGGTAGCGCCAGTATAGGTATCTCTTTGGGCTTTGGTAATGGAACATTTGCGATGCCAATGAATTTTTCTGTTGGTAACAGTCCGTATTATGCTGCTGTGGGCAATTTTAATAATGACAATTATCTAGATATTGTAATTACTAATTATGATGATAATAGTACAACTGTACTGATTAATTCTCAAAATAACAGTTTCATTTCAAGCATGAATATTTCAACTGGAAGTGCTCCATTTGGAGTAATTGCTGCTGATTTTAATAATGATAATTTCACCGATACTGTTGTTAGTAATAGTAATAATGATACTGTAAGTATGTTTCTTGGTTATGGTAATGGAACTTTTCATTTACCGATAAATTCTAATACAATGACAAGTCCTCTTGGAACGGCTGCCGGTGATTTCAATGGTGATTATAAACTTGATCTAGTCGTTGCTAATGTCGATGACAATAGTATAAGTATTTTACTTGGTAATAATGATGGAACTTTTCAAACACAAATAGTTTATTCAACTGGTATTTGGCCATGGTCTGTAGCTACCGGTGATGTAGACGAGGATACATATGTGGATATTGTTGTTGCTAATAGTAACAGTAAATTTATCAATGTTTTTCTTGGTTATGGCAATGGAACATTTCGAAAAGCAATGAATATCACAACTGAGGCAGGTCCATGGGACGTAGCTATTAGTGATTTTAATAATGACGGTCGATTAGATATTGTTGCTCTAAGTAGTAATTATTTTACTTTAAACATTCTTTTAAATACATGTTAATTTCATTTCTATCTATGTAATTGAAATGTTTTCGAAAAAAATATTTTATCAAACTAATTTATTTATCTAAATGAAAATGTTTTAATTTCTTGTTGTTGGTGTTATTATTTGTTTTCGATAAAAGCAGATTTTAACAAGAAGAACGGCAACACAATAACAAATAACAAATAAACCTCCATAAATCTCAAGAAGAAATGTAATACATTGAATAAAAGTTTTCTTTTTTGTCAATGAATAAGAACAATATAATGGTGAACATTGATTAAAATAATTTTCATAGGATATTTCATTAAAATATTCTTCAATCATTAAATGATTTAAAATATCTTCAATAGTTGTATTAAAATCAAAACGACTTTTTATGGACGTATTCATAGCTTGATATCTATTTGTTTTATCAATACATTGCTGATTATAATAACATTGAAATGTTGATTGAAATAAAGTTTCTAATGAATAACAACCAACATACATATCTTTATATGATTCAATACATTTTGATGATAAACTACAATAACATTCTTGATAAATTTGGGGTTTTGTATGTATAGTTGAATCACTTATGATTTCTAATGGATTTATTAATGTCCAACTACTAGCGAATGCAGTCATTAACATATTAGCATGAGTTGTTTCACGAATTAAAGAAAGAATATTAGTAAATAAATATGACATTTCTAGTTGTGATTGATTAATTTGCATTTGAATCCGTTGATGAAATGTATCAAATGATAATAATTGAATATTAATAAAATAACTAGTTAGAAGTTGCAAAAATGTATCATTAACAAATTGATGTGATAATTGACAAAATATTTGAAGTAATTGAAATTGTCCACTTGTTGAATATGTAAAATATCTTGGATATACGAGATAAATATAATAAGTATTGCTATAGATATATTCTATCCAACGATCTGATATAAAATCACTTGAACATATTTGATGAAAATGATATTTTATATCAAGAAATGTTTGATATTGTATTGAAAAATGTTTACATAAACATTGAAGTGATTTTGAATAAGATTGAAATAAATTTTGATAAATATCTAATGATGGTTTATCAATTGTCATATAATTTACTTCATATGTTAAGACTAAAAATAAATAAAGAATACAAAGAATAGAAATAACTAAAAGAATCGAAATTCTTTGAATAATTCCGTATTCATCATGAACAATAAAAATATTTTTAATAAAATGTTTAAAATTTAAACGATATATTCGATTTTTTTTCGTAATAATCAATTTTAAAATAATCCAAATGAATATTTTCCAAATAAATGATAAACTTCCAAAGAGGCCAGTTATTGTTATAAGAACAAATAAAATATCATTATATCCAATATATTCAATTGTGCATGATAAAGGTGCACATGTCTTATAATAAGATGAAAAAGATTTGTTTATTATCCATTTATCAATCATAAGTCGATTAAGAATTATTTCAATAGTTTCATTTGGAGAATTCAGATTAGAATTTAAAGGATTAAAATGAAATAATTCTCCAAGAGATTTCCACATATATTTATCAATTTCATATAAACATGAGAAATTATAAAAACATTCTAATGTTGATGTAAGTAAAGCATCAATTAAAAAACAACCGATATTAAAATTGGGAATTGTATATAATGGATAATAACCATAAGATTCACTTTTATTATAAATGCTCATTGAAGAATAACATGATTGATTAAATCCACAAAAACAATCATTATAAAGTAATTGTATAAGTATGAATTTGTTAACATCGGAATTTTTATAAAATGCTACATTTTGTTCATTTATTAATTGGTTTCCACGTGTTGTTGCTAAAATGAATTGAATTGTATGCGTAAATTGATTAAGTAGATTTGTTTGCCAGATTTCAATAGAAACGTTTATTTCAGTTTCAAATAGATTTGGAGATAAAAGTTGAGAATTAATTAATTGTGTTTGAAGAAAATTCTTTTTATTATATTCAAATGTTTGTTTTGCTTGTTGACAAAACATTAATAAAGATTGAAAATGTATTGTAACATAATTTCGAAAGTCAAGAACGTAATAAAATAGATCAATTGATTGAGAAGAATATGTTGTATAATCGATCCATTCATTAGATAGAAAATCACTTGAACATATCTGATGATATTGAACATCAAAATTTAAAATATTTCTATAGGCTATCGAAGTAGACTGACATGGACATGATAAACTATTGAAATAAATTTCTTCTAATTGAATATATTCAAATTCTGTTGGATTTTGTATTATTTTACGATGAATTTCCTTAATTAATAAAGTATACATAGCTACAATAATTAATGATAGAATTAATAGAACTATATAGATTCGTGTGGCATAAATTTCATATTGAATTTCTTGCTGATCAGTTGAATTATTTATATATATATTCATATTGAGCAATTTTTTTATTAGACGATCTTTAAGCTGATACAAACGATTACAAACTGAAATGAAACATTTTAACAATTTCAAAAACGAAAATGTTCTACTTACACGAAACTTTTGGTGTTTGTATACCATGACGTTTTCGTTGGATATATCGAACTATTCTTGGAATGAAGAATCCAAGTATAATTGTTAATCCTTTAAGTAAACTTAGTAGTTTTTCTAGAACAAATCTAAAATCATGTCTTTTTATTTGTGAATAACTACAAAATAAAGGTGCACATTGTTGATAATACTTTTCATACGAGATAGTTTTTATCCAATTTTCAATCATTAGATTATTAAGTAGTGTTTGTATAGTTGAATCGAGATGAAATTGACTTTGTTGAAATGTATTCATTGCTGTAAAAGTTTCATTTGACGAAAGATAGAAAAGAAGTTGATTTAAACATGTCTGATTATAAAAACATTCAAGTGTTGATAAAAGAATATTATTAACAGGTAAACAACCAGAAAGAAATCCAGGAATTTCCATTAATATTTTACTTTGATTAAAAACAAGTTGATTAGATTCATCAAATGAATCAAGAATTATAGAGGGTCCTATACAATCAATTGTAGTATAACAATTGCATTGAGATCCATTGCTACTTATATAACCAATACGAGTGAGTACTGCTTGAAATGATTGTCCAATAACATTATTAAATGTAAAAAAGAGATTTGTCTGTAATCCTGATAATAATCGATTACTTCTTGTTATTTCACGTATTAATTGTAATTGTGATAGAAATGTAATTGGTAAATTTAATTGAAATTGTTCAATTATTGATGAAATTTGTGATTGAAATATATCTTTTGTTATTACTTGTGGACTAATTAATAGAGTTTGATTAAATAATAAAATATTTTGATAAACATTGGTTTTTGTTAAACGACAAAAACCAGCAAGTGCTTGAAATTGAGCACTGCCATATGTTCGAATATCATTTATATGAAAATATGTTGAGTTTAATCCAAAATGAAGTGTTTTTATCCAACGATCAGATACAAATTCACTTGAACAAACTTGATGAAATGTTATTTCTAATGAAATAAATTCACCATATCCTAATGAACTATGAGAACATGGACAATTTGCATCAATCGGTAATGATTCAAATTGGTCTATGATTGGATATTCAATAAACTCTAAAGTTATTTGATGTCTTAACCAAAATATTGAACCAAAGATAACAAGACATAGAATAAGAATTAGAAAATAGATTCGAGTCGCAATTCTATTTGAATGAAGTTCTTGTTCATTGGTTCGCTCAGTGTCATTAGTAGTAGATTCAAATATGTTTATTTCAAGAAAACAAGTCTTTAAAAAGGCCATGATTTGTATTGAACTAGAGAAAATATAGTTGTGAATGTATGAAAGAAAAAGGAAAAAGTTTTATATAATGGTGACAGATGGTATACGATGATCCATCTCATTGAAAAAAGAAGTTCATCATTTTTCCTCTTTTTCTTTTATTAGAAAGGTGAATGCCAACTGGTGTGATATTTTAAAGAGTAAACTTGAAGAAAAATGTTGTATAATACAAATGAAGAAGAAGATAGTAATTTTTATAGTTGAATTTGAAAAAATATCGATAGGTTTAACTATTCATTGTTAATTTTTACTTTCATTTTCAATCATTCTCACATGCGATTTCTACTACACAAAACACGAAAAAGTGGATAGTTCTGTAAGCTCGTTCTATATTTCATGACTTTCTCTAATTTGATATAAATCAATAGTCGTACTTACTATTAATCCATTAATGTTCATGAGAGCGTTATCTTCTCACCTTTACTCTACTTATGACTTTAAGAAAATTCTTTGAAAAACACTGCTTTTGAGATTGGTAATCAGAACATCGGAAAAAGATGAAATTCCATGACGAATAATATTTAAAGCTTTGGCTCCCGACTTTTTTATAACGAAAATTGGATTTTTTTATAAGATATCTTTATTTATTTAGGAAGATACATTATTCTTGTGTAAAAAGTCTTTTCGTAGTTCATCTTTGTATGATAATCTCTGGAGCCATCGACAATGCCTCGAGGAGCATCACAGTCAACGCAGAAATATCGTGTATCACTTCGAGTATTATGAAAAGTATGCAGGATACCTTGGACACGGATTCGTTTCTTCATTTTCAGTTACCATTCCAGCACCTATTCCAGATATAATTCGATGAGCTCTATCGATTCCGATCAAAAAATTTCATCCACCCTCACCCTCACCCACCCACCCCACACCCTCAAGATGGCTTTTGTTACCAGTCTGTGACAAATTGGATCGAACGATGAAATTTTTCTGCAAACTAATGTCGATTAATAAATGTTGCACTAGCATCTCGAGCTTCACGAAAAGCTATGTGCTTGATCCCATTGGTAATTCTTTGCTCTTCAGTATCATAAGTTCCAGCCATTTTAGAAGGATCAAATTTAATTGAGACACCCAACGGATTGATTTTTTATGAAAGATATAAACTAGAGAAGGACCTTATATGTGGCGTCACAAACTTCTCGAATTTTTCTGTTCTCTAACTTTCGAAAACAAGAAAAATAAAACATCTTTTTTCTCTATCATCATTATAATATAAACATACAACAAACAACAGAACGCGAACGAAGAACTGCACCTTCTGAATCATAGTAAGGTCTTATGACCACCAGGACAGTATTTTCTTCACTTTTTCCTTCTTTTCTTCGTTATATAGTCTTTTAAAAATGAAAAACATAGTCGCACTATGCCGATTTCTTCGAACTTCGTCAGTTTCTGAATACGAAGGTTCCTATAAACCGTATTGTTTAGTACCACTTAATCCCATTTTTGGAGAGCTTTCATTTGGTATAAAATGTATTAGTAACTCTATTTGGAAATATGACAGTGTCCCCTCTATCAAAAGAATTTTTCCAACGTGGTACACGGGAAAAGTTATCTGTCAGTAGTATTCGCTAAATTTATGCAATAATTGCGAACCGAATAAAAGAAAGCTTATTACTAGCGTAAATTTCATGAATATATGCCACAACCCTATGCTTTCTCTTCTTGTATGTAGTTCGAGATGTGGTTCCATTGATAGTTACAGATTAGCCGCAATCGGACCTATAAATATTGAGGTTGAGTTTTCATTTTTCCAGATGGAAAATTACAAAACATCAATATTGATGTCATAGTTAATTACGTACAGTCCCTGGATAATAGATGTTTGTGTTGTATTTTTCTCAAGTTGAAAGAATGAAATACTGAAATATAGTGTGTGCAATATTTTCTATGAGCTGTCACATATATACAAAAGTACTTGAAAGATGCATATTGATAAGAATATATTTGCATCATAAGATCTGTATGTTTTTTTGACTATATAGCTGTATGTTATCGAAGCGAAAAACGAAAAAGTAAAATATTTGAAGAAAAAAGTCCAGAAATAAGGGTTATACAATAAAGTCGTGAAATGTAATGATTCATTATCTCTTTTTTTTTTGTTGATCAGCCACTGAAGCTTGTTGATTGTTATAGATTATCATCGCTCTTCTATTGTGACGCCAGACAATATTATTTGATATAATATCCACGTTCAATCATATGTAATCGACGAGTTTCAATAGCATCGAGTACTATTTTCTTCCATGCTAATGTTGATTCCATCAATCTATTCTTTAACAAAAAGCCATTTCGTGTATTCTGTGTGGTTGTATTCAAGTTTTCAATCATTTTGCAGCTAGTGAGGATAACTTGATGAATTATGTCATTCTTCAATACTGTTAAATATTGACATCGCTCTTTTCTCGGTACATATGATTAATAACAAAACTAACAAAAGAGAAAACGAAAATCGACGATAACGATATAGCATCATTCATATTTGCTTTTGGCTCTGTTCATGATTCATCGTCCTTGACATATAAAATCTTATCATAACGAAAACTATGTCAGTCTATTACGTTAGCAAAAAGAAATTAGTTTTTTGTTAAACGACATCTAAGCATGGTGCATATATTGTTGGTTGTGTTCGTTCTTGTTTTTCACATTGCAATTGGCAACGGTTCAACGTGCCCGAGTCGAGAATGGATAGAACAATCTCTCGAGAAAATCCATGTACCAGGAGCTGCGATCATCGTGGTCAATGCTACTCACGTACTCTACGAACAAGCTGTAGGCTACAAATCTCTATCACCAAAAGAGCCTATAGATATTGACAAATCCATTTTCACTCTTGGTTCGATTTCGAAAACTTTCATAGGCATCGCTGTCATGCAACTTGTCGAGCAAGAACTCGTCGATCTTGATACTGACATTAATCAATATTTATCGGAACCGCAGAGACGTATCTTCCATCCACATTATCCTTTGCATTCGATTACTCTACGCAAGTTACTTTCGCACTCGGCTTCGATTTCTATCAATCGCCAGGAGGAAGATACTTTTTTTAAACCGGGCGACGAAGCATTCAATGAATCGTTGGCTGACGTGTGTTTCAAATATGTGAATCCGAACACGTCGAACTGGTTGCCAAAGCCGCCCGGCAGTGTGTCATTGTATTCAAATCAGGGTTCATCGCTAGCTGCATTGGTTGTCGAACGAATTGCAAATATGAGATACAGCGATTATGTCGAAGAAAAAATTCTGAAACCAATTGGTATTGATATCACCAAAACTGGAGTACGTTTGTCTGATTTTGAAAACATAAATGACCTTGTCACGAGCTATGCTTATGCACCCAATGTAGACTATTTTGAAAAATATTATCATGCAATGTCGCAATTGAATATCACAAAGATCTCGGTAAAATGCACATCAATGATTAGTCGAATTGATTTTAGTTGTTTTCTTTTCAGGACAATTTTCCTACATGGCTACAAATTTCACCTTTCAGCCTTAGTGGTTATCCGGCTGGTTTGTGGCGTATGTCGGCTCGTGCTTTATCCGTGTATCTTCGCATGTTTCTCAACAATGGATCTTCTATTCTCCATCCGCGATCCATTGCCGAAATACGAACAGCGGTCGGTTGTGGTGTCATACCAATGTTTACTCCAGAACCGGTTAATAATAATACGATACAACGACGATTAGAATATGGCCTTAGTTGGTATTGGGTAACCACAGACAAAGGTGATCGATACTTTGGTCACGCTGGAGAGTTGCCGGGCATGGCACATGTGATGCTCACTAATAAGAAGAATATAGGTGTGATTATCCTATCAAATGCAGATACGAACGCACCGATTAATTTAACGCAACAGATTTGGAAAACTTACGAAGATATTTATGTGTCGTTTTTTCAATGTTTAGACACCGATCCGGTTCGTGCATCTGCATTCCGTACAAAAGGGACTCTCTTTGGACTCTTTATTTCTATTATTCTTCTATTCCGCACTGTCATAGCCTAAATATTGATCGGTATAATTCATGCCGCATCTAAGCTCGTTGTCCATGCTTCTGGGCGAAACGACAGAATAAACAAAACTTGCACAATTAAAAGAGTCGGGTGAGAATGTAAGTGCTGATGTGTACAACAGAGACACTAACGCCTACACTTACTGTTAGACAAAAACTCGAATTTCATTGACTTTTAGTCTCATTTTGAAATGACGACTGTTACATAAATACAAATGTCGAGTCGAGATCCGTGATTATTCTTCTCGATGATGAATAATTGGCAAATGAATGGCATATTTTATTATTAGAATAACAATTCCGTGCTAATACATAAGATAGAATGTTGGAAAAGAATGCACCACAAACATATTCTGAACAGGAATTGTTCTAATCGATAACAGTAGTTGTGACATTGGAAGCGTATACTGCGCTCCTAATAGAACCAATAATAGCTATGACATTTGCACAGATGATAACCAAATTCAGAAAAAGAAAAGTAATTGATGTAATCATATTATCTCGCAAATGTAACGGAAAAAACCTATGAATAGTAATTGTGATGGAATGAAGCAAATAATGTATGTGTGTATATTTTACAGTTTCTTTTTCTGTTGAGTACGCTGCACAGTTGTGCTTTTTTTACCTGAAACTCCGAGTGTCAGTTTAATTCAACTAGACAAACCAAAAAAGTTAACGTACTAAATATTCAGTCTGTCCGTGACACTATCTAACCACAGTGCAATTATTAAAGCAAGCGTTTTTTATTAGAATATTGTTCTTATATTTGGAAAAGTGCTTTCCCACAAGAAAGAAAAGAAACAAAATTTGTTTCCATGTGTCTATCTAAAACAAAAGAAAAAAAAGTAATAGAAGTAGTTTTTCTCTTTCGTACCGAGTCTAGCGTTTATTTCTCAAAGGAGTGTCAAACCATCATTGGTATTGCTTTTGAACTGAATAACGCTTTTATTGATCAGATGAAACTGATCGTTGATTCCGTTCACGCGACTAGTTGATTCAACTGTACTCATTAGCTTGATTTCCAAGACCTTTTTGCCCGATTTGTATTTCAATTCTGTTTTGGATTCATTGGAGAGCTTTTCCGTAGTTACTCTGATGCCCACTACAAAAATTAACATAGAACAATGTGTACAAAACCTGGATATACTTTCGACACGATTGCACTTTTTCGAACAGAGTATCAGTGTAATACTACAAGACCTTCGAAGAATTTTTCAGAATGTGATAAATGTCTCGAGCCTCGTATTTATTCTCTTCGGATGTGATCAATCTAAATCAGAGCGTTCTACTTACTGTTCAATGAAAGCGAAGGAATGTGCTGTTTGTAATAAAAAATATGTGTGCAAAAAGAACTCAGGAAAATTGATCGAAATAGATGTTATATTCGACACTCGTATCATTATACTGATCGGTCATACGCCAATTACCTTTTCTGCACCATAAACGGAAAAAAATATTGATACTATGCGCATCGAATTTGAATCAGTGTAAAAATACACGAAAGGAAAAGTAGATGGCAAGAATGATAGTGTCTAATGGGCCTGTAAGTAGGACCGGTAGCACGTCTTATACTGTAGTCAGCTGAGATTTGTTACACTTCGAATGTAAGTATTCGTGTGGCTTCCTACGCTGATAGCAAGAATAAACATTATTTTCGAATAAAAGGTAAATTTTGGTTTTATTATTGTTCAAAAAAGTCTATACAACTTAAAATTATGCAGCAAAAGTGACAACAGCAGTTACATACAGCTATGCATTTTTCAGCCCTTCTGATTTTCGTCATTGTATTTGTATGAGAAGACCGATCGTCATCCAACTTAGAAAGCGGTTGTTCTATCGTTGTGCTCATTTGTGTTGCGGTGTCACATTGATTTAATTAAACAAATAAGTAAGTGAAAACATTCTCTGATGAAAAATTTCACTCTCATGCCAATGAAAAACAACATATAATGTAGTTTATTTCATGCTTATTTTTCTGATATAAAATGAGTGGAAGTAAAAACGTAGATGGAGTTTTTGACAACACAAACGATATTCATATTTGCGTATCTCTCGATATGAGTGACAAGAATATTGATCAATAAGTAACTACATATTTGTCTGACGTTAACTTGCATCGATACTTTCAGGCAATTCCGCCCAATCATAGTTACCAGTCGCTTCTATGAGCCATTTTTTACTTGGATACCTATCCATACAATCAAACAGATAGCCAAGTTTGAAATCACATGTGCGGTTGATTTCTTCTTTATTAAACTTACTTTCAACGCGTCGTTCATTAGCTTTGAGCGGTCCAATAGGTGATCTTCCTATCTCGCCAGCCGTCTCCATGGCTTCAATTTGTTCTTGCGTTTTGAAATTGCCTCGATCTAATGCTCCCCGTGATGCAAAAATCATTCCTTCATCTCGTATCATTGGAAGAATGCCTCTGTCTCATTCCCTTTCTCTTGATAAGACGTCGATAAACTTTCTTTAAAAAACGATCAAGCTGACCATAAAATAAAATATTAAGAGTAATTACGCTGCATCAAGCAATACATTAATGTTCAGATTACAAAAGCACAAAAAATAAAACGCGTTGATGACTTTGTTTATGCCGAATTTGTTCGTTCTCGGCAAGAATTGCATATCAATCATCGACAACACTGTTTGTCAACAGACATCTTGTCGACAGGTATTCCGTCAACTATTTATTGCGTCAAAAATCAATCTTTTAACCGTAATGTATTATTATTTTACTACCTTCTGTCTTTATGCTCGTACGTATATGCACTTTATCAATAAATCTAAGCTCATAATCTAATTTTGCACTGACCACTTTGATGAAAAGTATTCCTTTTTCGGAACATGAGGAAGAAAAATAGATCACTATAACTTTCTTTGTTCTAAATTATAAACATTTTCGTATTAATTGGCTAACGTTTCGCTCGCTGATAGGCGTAGTATCAGTGAATCAAGCTGTTCTGTTATATATACAGGTTCCTTTTCCTTTTTCCTTTATCATGGCAACTAGCACGATTATCCTCAAGTTTAGTAAGACGACAAAGGGAAGGCGTGTGGCTCTGTACGATGGATACATCTACACATTGAACCAGAATCGTGGGAAAGTGAAGTACTGGCGATGCAACGATCGCACCGGTTCTTCTTTTCTTCATACCGACGAAAACATCAACTACAAAGCGCACTCGGGCGCTCAACGGCCATCTATCCTCACTCACCCGTCGATAATAATGTTCATAAAGCAGAAATCTAAATCTGAAAAGTTCTGCTCGAACTGAGGCTAAATACGTGTATTGACATCTTTAATCGTACAATCACCCTAGATAAACAATGTTAGAAATACTAGTACAAAGTATGTGAGGAACTTGTATACGCTTATTGAGCGAACATTTGAGCTCGACGGAGTTGTTAAGTTAATATCTTCAAATGGTTTTGATATATTCAAGTACATTATCGAATATTCTTGCTCTTTTTCACCATTTCCAACAAAATCTATCGCCGTTGGAAATTCCTGGATACAGTTTGGATCATTCCATTCAGATGGAAATAAATTTGGAAATGCCCATGAACAAATAAGTTTTAGTGGACATTTATAATCAACTAATGTCGTAAGAATAGCAACATGGCCAACCAATGGAATAGTGTAAAATGTCCGTGATTTACGTGTCATTGTTGCAAGATGAGTAGCATAATCAAGATGTGTTGCTGGATCGAGTTGCCCTGATAACATTAGTACATTTGCATTAATTGCTATTCTATGATAATATTCATCTAATGGATACTTAGGCCATGCAGATCGTAGAGATGTAAACAGTTTAAAATTTTCGAGAGCCATTAATGTTGAATTATGCCAAGCGGATAGCGTTTCTTCATCGACTTCTTCTTCATCTTTACCTAACCAAAGTTCTGATTGAATTATGTTAAAACCGAGTACAAGAGAATCGTAAAGTGCGGGTGGAGGAGTTGAACGACTTTCGCTTAACTTTTCCGTTCTACCAAGAGTAGCTTTGAAGAAAAAATTCAGTATTTTGACATCATCAGAATTACAACGATTTAAACGAAAGATAACGGCTGGTATAATAGTACGACTATAAAATGAGCGGCTCGATGACATCAAACCACGAAATAGACCTCGAAGCTTATCGCTAGTTATATGATATTTCAAAAGATGAGCATTAATACATGGTTGGTTGTTTTGATCTACTTCCTTAAGTATCCTAGCTAGCATTATTTGAGGTGGTTCATGGACAGGAAAATATCGATTACATTCCGGTTGAAATTGACAGTAACCTAAAAATCGCGAAGCAACTAATGATGTCCAAAGATCATAGCGACTCATAGAAAACAGTTGTGGATGCATAACACCGTCCATAATAGCTGACTGAACCATATTTGGATAGATCTGAAGAAAACGATCGAGCCATATGGTTCCATAACTCAAACTATAGACGGACACGCGACCAGAACTGACAGATTGATAAGAATGAATTTGAACTGACAAGTCTTGAGCTGCTGAAGTAATTGAAAATTGATTTAAACCATCTATACTCCATTTTGAAGTCAAATAAGAAATACAGTCAATGGTTAGATTCTGTGATCCATGATCATCACAAGTCAATGGAGTTGACAGTCCAACACCACGATGATCAGGAAGTATAACAGTTATACCGTAATGTGCTGGAAAAAGAATTGGTATATATTGAATGGCCGTCCAACCGGATGAACCTGGGCCACCTGTCAGAAAGAAAAGAGTATTGTTCGTGGTATGATTCTTATTGGAAGGAGTGAGACGTGTCATTGATATAGAAATCTTCGTTCCATTTGTCTTGGCATAATTGAGAGGAACTTTGAGTTCACAACAATCAATTGAGTAATTTGCAAGAGGTGGAATTGCATCGTTCACATTGCAATTAGACCATTGGCAACCATTCAATGGAACATAATTAATCGCTCCAGCTTTTGCCAGTTGAAGAGTAAGAAAAATAGGAAACGTGAAAACAACTAACATGAATACAGAATGTCCTATGAAGCTGTCGATAAGAAGTAATATGAATCATTTGCCCTTGTTTTAGATGCGCTTTTAAAGATTCCGTTTGTTTATCGATGAGTCATATCAAAGAATATAGATAAGTACATGATACGAAAAACGGAGTCGTATGGCGTTATATGAGATAATATTTCTTTTATCAGCATAAGATGTATGTGTGTCAAAAGAATCATGATTGGGATTTCATTACGTGGATTTAGACCACTACATGCGAGAATCTGTTCAAAGAGTTCGAACCGTGAAGAGAAAGCTATATTGGAATGCTCTTAAATATTATCGTTGTTAAAACTACTTGAGTAGCTTTTCACATATTTCCCATAGCTGAAATAGGTATGTATCAATGTCAAAAACATGGTTTTGGTACAATATTGAGTGTAATATTTAAGTTTTGATGTGACTATAGAACTATCGAAGGAGTCTTTGCATATCAAATCGATTATTTTTAGTCTTTATTGATTCTTGTATTGATTAAAATTGGAAAGAACGAGGGTCCTCTTCAACTTTTCATACGAATAACTATAATTGTGTTGATTTCGCCTGCCTGAATATATACCACGTTCTTTCGCAAAAAATTTGATTAGAGAAGAAGAAAAGCAGTGCAGCGCAGTGTTATTTTAGTGCAAGAACAGAACGCAGAAAAAAATTCAATAAACTTTGTCGTTTATGTATATAAGAAAAGGTAACGAACATAAACACCCGCACGACACATGTAGTAAACAAGCTTATTATACAGTATTTTTTTGCGATTACCATGGAACAACTTTATAAACTTCTGAAATCGTTGGATAATATATACATTATTCTACTCTTGTGGTCTTTAACGGCCATTAATCTCTATTTTCTCGCGAAACCACTGAACGATTATACTATTTCAGTCTCCTTAACTACAATACCGACAGTTCTTGACACAATGACTTATTACACTGCTGATGAAGGATACCAAGTGCTATCGAACCTGGGTGAAGGTGGACGTAATGCGTATCGATTAGTCAATTATGTCGATTTTGTTTTCCCATTTCTAATGTTTTTGTCAATAAGTTCATCAAATATCGCTTTTGGAAAAGGGCGTTACTATCTAATTGCTCCATTGGTCTGCATGGTTTTTGATTATCTGGAAAATATTGCGGAGAGATATGTTTTGGAAATTTTCCCGGAACGAAATGATTTTGTTATGAACTTGGCTTGCTACTTTGGACTAGTGAAGATGTCAGCTGTAATCGTCTCAGGGAGTCTTTTCACATTCAATGTCTTACAGTGGTTCTGGAGACGACGAAATTACCCATTGGAAAAGCAACAACAACAGAAATCTCAATAGACTTAAACATCTAATGGATACTTTTTAGTGATGTATTGCTTGCTGTTTCTGCGAAGGCGGAAATTTTTTTACCGTGATTAAATACTGTAACTGTTGAGAACCAACACAGACTAAAAGTGAAATTATGTTCGGTAACGAAAGGCTTACAAACATCTCATGTTGTACAGCTTTGATCTATCTGTAATCTATAGTCGTAGTGAACGTTAAAACGATTTTTTGAAAAATCAAAAGTTATAACTTACCCTGAGGTTATAATATTTATGTAATATTGAAATCGCATAAATTCTGTTTCGATATTTGATTTCATCCTTGACGCTATTCGGTGTCACGTGATCATATATTCAACTTGTGATTTACTCTACAATTTTTTCTTGAAAAGCGATCTAGACGTTTCAAGAATGGTGATATGCATTGAATTCTACAGAGAAGCCTTAGTTTTCTCTTTTTTTCCGTTAGTCAATATTTGATAGGCAACGTGTGATTTCATACCATCTTGTGAAGAGAGAGAAAAAACCATCCCCCTTTCCGCCCGGAAAAATATTTGTCGGAATGGTTGAATGAAAAGCGGCGAGGCCATTCATGTCATCATGTATTACTGATGATGCACATACAGCGTTCACAATGTCTTTTCTGCGATTATTGTTCGATTAATCAGCATAAGAAAAAAAAACTTTTCATTTGGGTTCTATTTTCAATCAACCAAGGAGACATATAAACAATTTATGTCTACCAGAATTCTCCTCGACAAGAGAGAGATAGAGATTTATTTACTTGACTGATTCTCTCTTTACGTATAATGCCGAACTTCGGCTCATCGTGGCAGATAAACATCTGCCAAACTAAATTCATGATTTTCACGCTGACACTACATTCATGCAGAAAATAGATAAAAAAAAGTGTTGTTCATTTTCATATTTTTCACTCCTGTCAGAATATGTCTACAACCAACAGCTCTAATAATGATAGCAATGCTTCGTCCGGAGATTCAGAAATTTCTCCACCGCGTGTGGCTCGTTTCTGGTTTCTATTTTTAATCGATGTTCCATCGGTCATCTGCACGTTCTGTATCATTATCCACATCGTCACCAATCGAGCTCGGCGACATGCATTACAAAATCATACGATTCTCGTTATCCTTCTCATGAATCTACTGGTTCAATTACCGGATATCATTTTGTATCTTAATGCTTATCAGAATGGTCCTCTGCAACCTTCGAGCCCAGCTGCTTGTCTCACTTGGTGGTTTATTGACATTACTTTTTATAACGGAGGTGTTATTCTCTTGGCTTGGATGGCCATCGAACGGCATATTTTAATATTTCATTATCAATGGATAATGAATCGAAGAAGGCGTTTTATTTTTCATTACTCTCCTCTCATTGTTCTCGTCATATACACTCTTGTCTTCTATATCATCGCCTTTTTCTTTATTCCCTGTGAAAATGGGTATGATTACACAGTGCCAGTATGTGGCGAGTCTCCTTGTTATCAATCCTATGGCGTTTTTGGCAAATGGGATTTGTTTGCTAACAACTGTGCACCGATTATATTGGAGAGTGTTGTTAGCATTGGTCTTATTCTGCGCGTTCAATGGCAGAAGCGGCGTCTTCGTCAATCCGATCAATGGCGGAAGCAACGACGAATGATTATCCAATTGTGTTTGGTGTCTGGTGTCAACATGTGCATCAATCTGCCGATCTACCTCATTACGTTCGCTCATCTATGCGGCCTACCGTCACAGTATGGCGTTCAAGCTAGCAGTTATTTCTATTTTTTCAGTTATCTCGTCACGTTGCTGTTTCCGTTTACATCTTTAAGTCAGTATCCCGAACTACGCAAGGTGATCGAAAAGAAGGTCTTTTGCATGTCAACAAGACAACTGCCTTTTGGATCTACTGTCGTACCTGCAAGAAGAGCAATACCAACGGGTGTAGCAGATGTCTGAGTTCAACAGCGGGGAACCGATCAGCATGCTTTTAAAAATTTATTTAACTTGAAATCTTGTGTAGATGTTGTTTAAGTTTGTGATGCAAAGGCGAGAGTGACAGGTAAACATCCTCATTTTCAAGACCTCACCAAATAAATGATCGAATTCATACACAATTAAACAAGTTACTATCACGCGGATAATATCAGCACATCTAAAAGAATTCACATTGAATTTCATAATACTAAAAGGTACTGTACTATGAAACTTGATGAATTTAATCATTTAAACTGGTCAATTGCTTGACAATCAAGAGATCGTTTAAGCTATCATTACAGCAACACCAAATTTTTCAATCGCGATGAAATACATATGATGCACAAGATAAAAGTCCACAGTAGAATTATTTTTTAACAAAGTATACAAATGGTCCATCTTTTTCACTCTCTCCTTCTCAATGTAGATTCAATACTCCTATACTGATATTTTGACTTTTTAGAAGAGATTTCTATTCGTCAGTCGCAATATTCGTTTCTCTACGTTTTAAAACAATACGCACATCTGTGTCTGAATACGAGCTAGATGTATATCTAACCCAACCAATTTTCTCTTTAACAAACAATTTTATACGAAGATTTGCTTTCGAAATATCTATTGACATTCGAAGTTGAGTTAGCTATCTGTTTCTAACGCCAGCCATTAGCACCATCGGTCGAAGTACGAATGGAGGTATACCTTTTAGTTTGAATTGGATGCAAGATAACAACTTCTTAACACCTTCGTTGTCTTTCTGTGTATCCCCTGAATGATCACTTGTTATCACTGACCAAATCCGT